TGTGTGTGTGTGTGTGTGTGTGTGTGTGTGTGTGTGTGTGTGTGTGTTGGACCTACTAACATATTTACCAAATGACAGGGTGGCCATGAGCAGATGAGACCAGCTCTTGTTTGGTTGGAAGGCAGGCAGAAGTTTGCAGTTTAGCCTTTGGTGTCTCAGTGGCCTTTTGCTTATTCCATGCTTTTTCTGTCCCATCTCTCTCATCCTCTTTTTCCATGCCCTCCTGCACTGGCAGCCGTGGCACAGTGCCTGGGTGTGCTCGTCCTTGCTTTACTCTGGAAAGCGTGGGCACAGAGAGGATGATGCATTTCATGTTTCCTTGCCTGTCAGTAACAACAGTGGCCACGTGGGTCCCAGCACTTGGCTGGTGGAGAGATTATTTTTCATTATGGAGCTAATAAAGGGCCCCCATGTTTTAAATTGATTAATGAATTATCACCCACACACGTGCAGATCAAATGTCAATATAAGAAAAATTAAGGTATTTGGGAAACATGGGCATAATCAGGTAGTTTTGCTAAAATTCCTCTTCCTTGGTCTTCATAAAGAAGATACGGGTCTGTCATAGAATGGGGACATTAGACTGAAAACCGGGACAACCCCCTTATTTTGTAAAGACTAGGAGTTAAGGGGCCTGCCTAAGATTGCAATGGTAAAGAACTGAACCCTAAGTCAGCTCCCACTAATGAAACCCTGCTTTCCTTGTATCTTTTAAACTCAGTTCTGCCTCTAACTTGAGAAAAGTTCCTTTCTATATCAAATACTATATGAGTTCATTTAAACTGCACCTTGCAGAAATGCATTGCCAGAAAGCACCAGTAGCTGCCTGTGTGCAAGCAGAGTAGTGCTCTGCTCTGGGGAGGGTCATTGGAAACCGTAATGTGGAGTGGGACCCCTACTCCATTTCCCAGCAGAAGGCTTTAGCTGGAGGGATGGGTCATGGAGCAGCCTGTTTCCTGCTAACTGCCAGAGCGAATTATGTGGGCTATAACGCCTATCCATTTGGTTAAACTGGGCTCAGTATGCTTGTCCTCAAAGTGTCCTTCCAGGTCACAGCACACAAGGTGGGTATTGTCTGCTTTCACCCCACCCTGTACTACACATGAAAATTCCAGTTATTAACGCACTCAAACTAATGGAGCTTGTTCACCCTAGGAGGGGAATTATATATATGGCAGGCTTCCCTGGTGCATATGTAAAGGGCTACATTTTGGAACATTTGACTTCCTTGGGACTCTTATGTGCATACTGATGGCATGAAGTAAAAGAGGCCTCTATGATGATATGAAAATCAGTTGGTCTTACAAAATTTCTTCAAGAAAACCCAGGCTATCGTGTAGTCTTTCTGTATGACTTATTAGGAGATAGGAAGAGCCTTTGGAAACTTGGCACAGCTAGCTATGCATCGACATTTTGGTTTGGGGTTAGTTATGAAACGTTCTTCATATGACTTCTTTAGTAACTTCACATAAACTGCCTCTTCTTCAAAACCTCAAAGACAGCAACTAGAGTTAATGAGTTTTTTTTAATGGGGGTAGTTTTCTATCTGTCATGGGCTCTATTATCTACTCCACTACCCAATTCTGTCATCTCCAAGCTGAGGTTCCTCTTCTGAGGCAGAGGCTGGAGCAGTTCGTTTTCAGTTCTCACCCTCTCCATCCCAATCTGGTCTATCAGTCAACTCTAACTCGGAGATGTCTAGCTGGTAATGTTTCTAAAACTTTCACTGGATTTATTTAGACATCGAAGCAAACTTTTTTTCTAGAATTGCTTCTCAGATGATTATATCAAATATGTATGCTTTTGCAAGTTTGAAAAATTCAAATTAACCACTTTTGACTAGGTAAGTCTTTCTAAAAACCATTTAAAGCTAACTTGGTCTTGGCATCCTCCCATGTATCAAAGGGACAGGTGGCCACGCCAGGTTGGGTGCTCACAGAACCCTTTTCCTGACTGTCACGGAAGATGGTGGAAGGAAAATGGACTGTCTCATCAACCTCCTGTGTCCTCTGAAGCAGTCTCAGTTATTAATCACCACTTCTGTGTTTCTGGTAGCTATTTCATCTGTAGTCCTTATGCCAGCCTCGATTTTATTTGATTTTTAAAATTACTCTCTTCTAACCAACGAAGTGTTTGTCAGTATGCCCCAAAGCTTGCTCTTTTGTGCTCCCTTTTGAAGAACTTTCTATCCAGAAAAAGAGATTATTTGGGACTTGAGATTTGCAGTGATACCAGCTTATAGCAATGATGTACTTTAAGGGAACTATTCAACTATGTCGTGATAGGAGAAAGAGAATCCTTCACTTTGGCATTTTTAAAATACAAAAAAGAAAAAAAAAATCACTGTTTATTTTTCTGTTTGCTGCCCAGGAAGCAGTGGGAGGTGGTGACAGATACGCTTTGCATATGGATTGTTAGGTTTTTATTTGGGCAAGTTTAATCATGGAAAACTCAAAAAGAAAGGGGGAAATGGTCAGTTTAAGCTGAAAGAAACTTTCTAAGCAATGAATATGTACACAGCAAAATTAAACAAATCCAACAATTTCTGAAGCTTAGTATAATTGAGTGGCAGTTGTTATTCAATAAAATTCTTCCCAAAAGTGTTTCTCCAAAGAGTCCAGTTCCCATGAGTCACTTCCTGACCCCAGTGACCAAAGGTGGACAGAGACAATCGTGTAGACTTTGACATTCAGAAAGATGTGAGCTGCTTTCTGATCATATATGCGTATATTTCTTTACAGCAGAGGAAACCATTGTCCGCAAAACTGATGTTCTTTTGGGGTTTTATGTACAGACTTGTCCAATGATGTGTGTGGTTCCTGTGAGTTGCCGACAGCTCTGCATTGAAGCTCTCTGGGCTCTTTCATTTTTAAGTTGGGTTTATGGAATATTTTCAAATGTTGGAAGGCGTATAGTTCTTCCTGCCCTCCCTCCCCTTTCAGAAATATGAAAGCAAATATTTAGAAGAATTCCTTTTGAAAAGCTGTGTTGTGTTCCCCATGAAACTGAGCAGGTGTGTGTTGGCGCGCTGAGTGCCACGTGCTTGTGTGCAGAGGAGAAGGTGGCCCTGCCAGCTCCACGCTGCTGTGCCTGTGACCCTGACCTGCTCCCCGCTCCTGTTGCAAGCAGCACTCACTGCACTCCTTTGTCATATACTCTGCATCACTGTCATACTCACAACTTCGTGAATAAAGTTGTGTGCTTTATTCGTACACGCCTCCATTTCTGTTTCATTTCGCCTTCTCTGGTTGCCTTTGAAGGTCGATCTCATTTTAGAAAGCACCAACACAACTTCCAATAACCAAAACAAAATCAGAATGAACCCAAAGCTGGAGGAATGCATTTTTATCGTGTAGGTGGGAAAATGCAACAAATAACAGCAGGCTATTCCAGGACTGTGCATCCAACAGCCCAGACCACATTGACCAAGCTGACTAAAGGAAAGAAATGGTTAGTAGAGACGTTGCACTGTGCTGTGTCATGGATGCTTGATTTGATTTGTGACACAGCAGATGTAGTCCCATCATTTGGACAGAGCTGGGGATTTGAGGAGGTTTGAAGCTCTGAGCCACTATGAGTGGGCCATTTTTTAGTAGGAAGCTAGAATGCAGTAGGAGAAAAGCATCCTTCCAATTTTGGGCATCCTCTGCATTATCAAACTTTACATGAAGAAATCGTGGATGCTAACTTCGTTGTTACCTTCACTGCCAAGATTTCAGGGTTGCCAGAAGATACAAGGATCTATGTCCAAGCTGGCCCGCTCCAACCACAGCCTGCCTTCTGCTCTGTGCCTGCTGAGCCTGTCCAGGACCCAGTCACACTGGTATTCACATGACCCTCCCCTGGAAGTAGGATACAGGTCATTTTCAAGACAGTAGTCATGTTTAGTTCACCACCATGGAAAACAGGTCAAGAGACCTCAGCTCAAGGTCTGTGTTCTTCTCACCGTGGGAGGGCGTCCCCGCTGTGGTCCATAATTACCAAAGCTAGGGGTCATCTCCAGTCCTTAAGAACTCTCTGTGGCATTTGGCTCTGGTGGCCACCTCTTCAATGGAAGTTGACCCCTGCCTCACTTCAGTTGCTAGACTTTAGTCAGCGAATCTCACGCCGCCTTTGCTGGGAGTGAAAGGATCTTGCCCCACCCACTGCTCAGCTGCCTGTCCCCCAGTGCCCTGCCTTCAGATCTCGCCAAACCACTGCAAGCTCCCAGAACATACCATGCTTGCTCTCTGCCAGGCAGCTTTATCAAAGGCATTTCTTCTGTACGATGCTTCAAGGAAGTGGCGGAGCACAGAGGATCTGACCCTGGGGAAAGGAATTAATGGCCAACGTTGACTCTTTAAAAATAGTTACCCATCAGCTCTTTGGAGTTACCCATGTGAATTTCCCATGGGCTCCATTTGTTCCAAATTAAAGACAAGCCCAAGTTCCCACCCTTTCTAGGAGCCCGTCTTAATGGGCCCAGCCCAACCTGTGTGTAATTCTTTGCGTGCCTCTAGTGGAACCTCAAGGTCAGTACTTAGCAAGCATTGCCCCGTAGTGCTAGCTGCATAGGTTTCTGCTCTTCAGCTGAACTATAGTGAGATCTCTGTGCTGAGTGCCAGGCACCCTAGCTTTGCATGACCGTATTGCTCATGACAGCCTTTCAAAGTAGACAATTGTAGCTCCACTATACCGGTAGGAAACCAAAGCTCAGAATCTAATCAAGCATGCCCAGTCACTCAGCCAGTGAGCAGCAGAGCTAGAACTGTCCAGGTCTGCCCTCTTCAGACCCCACGCTGTTATCCTCCACATCCCACTCCTTGTGACTGTCTTAGCACAGGGACTGTGTGCCACATTCTCAATCTCTCAGGGTGCACTGCCCCAAGTGGGTTCTTAGTATGAGACTGACCACCACCCTTCAGTCTGGCCACAAGCCGCAACACTACCACCAAGGCGTATTTATGAACAGTTTGGGGGCTACTCACCAGCTGTGCATCTTGAAGCCCATTAACCTCTCTTCAGCCTCAGTTTGTTCATCTGCAGAATGGACAAAATAATAATATCCATCAGAAGACTGTTGCCAAGTTATGGCACCTGAGTGCTTAGGTGGTAGGATAAGGACTGGTATTATTTTAAATAATCATTTGAGAATGATTTCGTTTTCATTCTGGGCTTTTTACCCCTCCCTTTAGTCATTTTGTTTGTGTTCACAGGGCCTTCCTCATGGATTCTCCTTCTAGTCTTTATATAAATACTCCAGGATTAAAATAAGCCCACAACCTCTTTTATATACTTCAATAACAGCACGGTCTCCACCCAAGCATAGTCTAAGATAGAGATCCCTGAAGATGTGCTAATTAGTGTACTAATAACCAGAAGTATTACTCAGAGCCGAGTGCAGGGTATAGCATCAGGCTGCCTGGGTTTGAGTCCCAGCCCCACCAGTAGCTATCTGTATGACTAACAGTTTGTCTAACTTCCTTAGCCTCAACTTCCATGTCCAGAAAAGAGGAATAATAATGATGCCTACCCTAAAAGATTATTATGAGAATTTCTGCAGAACAAGAGCCTGCGTAATACAACAATGAGCATTTTAAATGGCTTTTATTAATGAAGTAGCTCTCCTGTCATGTTCTGTTTGCCCAGCCCTGAACTAAGCATGTTTTGTGGTTTCTTTCATATATTCCTTAGGTTGCTTCCAAATAGACCCAGAGAGACTGTCTCTGAGTGGTGGGGCTGGTATTCAAACTCCGGTCTCTCCAGTCCTAAACTCTGCTGATGGGCAAGTATCATGCAGAGAGGGGCACGGGTGTCCCCATGCACTGTGGCCATCCAGCATGGCAGACTCCTCAAATGAAGCATCCAAAGGTGCCAGGTTGGGGCTTAGCTGCTCTGAGGGTTTCCTGGGTGAGGAGGATTGTTGTAGCCTCCTCCAGGGATGCTTAGAAACACTCCCTGCGGAAGAGCTAAGACTTGTTCCCATGAAAGGTAGTGTTTGTTCCAGAAAGATCTTTTCAATGGTATGACTCACTTCAAAGGAACCAAAGGCTGTAAAAGCTGAGCTGCTGGTCCTGAGAGTCTTGGGGGATATTTCCTCAGCGGGAGAAAGCCACCAGTCCTCCCCAGCCCCTCTTGCCCATTGCTGGAAGAAGGCTACTCTCCCCCCAGCTCATTGCTTAGGTGTTTCTGTCAGCCCCACCCTGCTGGAGGTGGCCCACTGTGGGCGGGAAAGCCCTGGGAAGGACGGGGACTTGGAGCTGGCAGCGTCTTAGAAAGCCAGGGTGGGTGGGAGAATAGCACCCAAAGCTTCAGGGAATCTCAGCCCTAAGAACCCGCTTCTGCACCTTCTTCCCCACAGGAGACCAGGACTCTGAACACACACGTCCCTTCGACTCCGGCAGAGCTCAGGGATAGGCCTTAGCGAGTCGGGTCTGCGGAAGGGTGGGTAGTAGGACCACATTTATTTTACTTTCCAATCTCCATTGGATAAGCTGCTCTCCAGGGCTTACCATTGAGCTGAGCACAATCGCAGCTCCTGGAGAGGTTTTTCTGTATTTATTTGTGCTGTCCCCTGCTGCTGGCTCTTAACTCAGCCCTTCCCATCAGATAAAAAGAAAAAAAGTTGGCTTGGGAAGCCTCCCCTTCAGAGCAGAGGCTGTTCCTGCTTTGCTTCTAGCATATGTTAGCCGCAGGCCCTCCCAGAATATCCCGAAGGGGCTGGAGGCAGGGCAGAGCCTCAGCAGCTTCTAGCCCCAGAGCTAGCCAGATTCAGACGCCCGGGTATCTGAGTCCAGATGCTAAGAACAGTGTGGTCTGATGGCAGCAGCCATGAACATTCTTTGCAGGCCTCCAAGTGCCAGGTGCTGGGCTAAACACTCTAGGCAGATTATTTTGTTGAATCTGGGAAGGGCAGACCAAGACTGGGAGAGGCCCGCTGACGGGTGGGCAGCACCCCCCCCATCAAGTCCAAGTGCCACCTTCCTCCTAAGGTAGTTACAGCTCTCTGGGGTCTCCACGAGGCCTTCTAAGGATGTCAAAAGGACTGTCTGCAAAGACAAATACCAGGCTTTCTCAGCAAGGTGGAGCCTGGCCATGAATAACATTTTGTTCTAAGCTGGACGGATGCTGGCACAGAAAGAATAGGTTCTTTCGTTCCTGCTATTGTCTTAAAACATAGCTTCTTAATGAAAAGCTAGAAAATGTTGATGCCAGTTACAATCCCATCAGATAAGAGCAAGGGTCAGCTGGCTTCTCCTGTTGAAAAAAAAGAAAAAATTATTACGTCCCTCTTTTACATAAAAACAAAGTGCTTCAGACAACACAGGGTAAGTAAATTGCTCGGATTTATTAATCATTTTTTCAATCAAATGGCTTCCACTTCACACGCGTGACCTGTGATCCTCACAAGCCACTGGGATGGATATTGCTCCTCTCCATACACAGATGAGAGCCAGCCTGGCTTGTCCTAGCTCAAAGGGAGACGTGGAGGAAGAGCTAAGATCTGAACCCACGTTTAACTCCAAAGCTCAGGCTTCAGTCCACAAAGAGGCTTTGATTTGGTAGATCTGGGTTCGGAGCTGCGAAGTTGAATCTTACAACAAAATATCAAAGCCTCCAGATAATTCTGATGGTCAGCCAAGTTTGGGAACCCTTCCCCACATCCCGGGGTCTCAGGTCAATGGCAGAGCTGGTCTGTGAATGAAGCAAGCATCCATTGCCAGGATTTGTCAGTCACCGTTGCCCTAATTTACGAGACCACAGTCAGACAAGGCCTGGGAAACCTGCCCTCACTGAAACCTCCATGGGAAATCACCCGCATCTTCCTTCAGCTTGGCAAGGCTTCAGCCCTCTGAATGCCCCCGGGGAGATTCCACTGCAATCTGCTCAAGTGTCACCTTATTTGCAAGGAGATTATCTCTTGTAAAATGCAACAGTATGAGATGAGAGAATCAGGTGCACCACAGCTTAAAGGAAAAGCAATCCTCCTGTATCATATTATCCCTTCCTCCCCTCACAACCTTGAAAAACCTCTGAATATTGAAAAAATGGCCTAGAAATATTATACCAACTTCCTTCCTTTTCAATGTACTCTCATTCTCTTCATTCTGTTGTTTGTTAGGAGGGTGAATAAGTGCTGGTCTTAAGTTTCCTGTGGAGACAGTCACTCCAGGGAAACTTAGTAACTGTCCCCAGGGTATGGCTGGAGAGAGATTAAGAGCAAGCAAGCCAGGAATTCTGCTTTCAAACTCTTCTTTTATAGAAAGTGGCTGTTTTTAGTTTTGAGCCTTTACATATCTGCATATGCAGTGGGTCGAAATAGTGTCTCCCAAAAGATGTCTACCTCAAACCTCAGAATGTGGCTGTATTTGGAATAAAGGATCTTTGGAATATTTGTTTGGAATAAGGGTCTTTGCAGATGTAATTCTACCAAAGGACACATGCATGAAATGTGCATCACTGTGCTGTTCACAATAGCAAAGACAGGGAATCAACCCAGCAATGGTAGATTGGATCAAGAAACTGGTCCATATACACCATAGAATACTATGAAACCATAAAAAGTATGACCATAAAAAGTACAGCAACGTGGATGGAGCTGGAGGCCAGCATCCTAAGCAAGTTAACACAGGAGCAGAAAACCAAATACTGCATGTTCTCACTTCTAAGTGGGAACTAAACTTTGAGCACATATGGACATAAGTATGTGGACTCTAAGAAGGTTGGGGAGGTGGGTTAAAAAACTACCTATCGGTTACTACGTTCACCACCTGGGTAATGGGATCTATACTCTAAACCTTAGCATCACACAATATTCCCATGTAATGAATCTGCACGTGCCCTTGTGTCTAAAATAAAAGTTGAAAATAAAACAATCAAGATGAAATCTTAGCTAGGAGGTTAGGTAGGAGGAATAAGTTCAAGAGATCTCTTGTATAACATGGGGACTACAGTTAATAACAATATATTATATACTTGAAAATTACTATGAGAGTAGATTTTAAGTTCTTGTCCAACAAAAAGTGCTATGTGAGGTAATGCATGTATCAATTAGCTTGATTTAGCCATTCCACATGTACACATTTTAAAACATCATATTGTGTATCATAAAGATATGCAACTATTATTTGTCAATTAAAAAATTAATTTTTTAAAACACTGCCCAAATTAGGTTGTTCCTTTGAAGTATGAAGTAAATTTGATTATTAATCACTAGATTTCCCTCTAGACACCGCTTTAAATGTGTTCCAGAGATCCTGGTACGTTGTGTCTTCATTCTCATTGGTTTCGAAGAACATCTTTAATTCTGCCTTCATTTCATTATTTATCCAGTAGTCATTCGGGAGCAGGTTGTTCAGTTTCCATGTAGTTGTGTGGTTTTGGGTGAGTTTCTTAATCCTGAGTTCTAATTTGATTGCACTCTGGTCTGAGAGACTGTTAAGATTTCCGTTCTTTTGCATTAGCTGAGGAGTGTTTTACTTCCAATTATGTGGTCAGTTTTAGAGTAAGTGTAATGTGGTGCTGAGAAGAATGTATATTCTGTGGATTTGTGGTGGGGAGTTCTGTAGATGTGCATTAGGTATGCTTGGTCCAGATCTGAATTCAAATTCTAGATATCCTTGTTAATTTTCTGTCTCGTTGATCTAATATTGACAGTAGAGTGTTAAAATCTCCCACTACTATTGTGTGGTAGTCTAAGTCTCTTTGTAGGTCATTGAGAACTTACTTTATGAATCTGGGTGCTCCTGTATTGGGTGCATATATATTTAGGATAGTTAACTCTTCTTGTGGCATTGATTCCTTTGCCATTATGTAATGCCCTTCTTTTTCTCTTTTGATCTTTGTTGGTTTAAAGCCTGTTTTATCAAAGACTAGGATTGCAACTCCTGCTTTTTTTTTTTTTTTTTTTTCTGCTCTCCATTTGCTTGGTAAATCTTCATCCCTATATTTACTTTCAAATTAAAATTAAAATCCTGACATCTCATTTCTCTTTTCTGTAATTGGTTATTTTTGTACAATACAAAATGCCAAGTTCATAACGTTTATTCTAATGAGTCTGTTCTGGCTCCCAGAAGATGCCTCAGTTCAAATCACTAAGCTTTATGCTCACTATTTCTCAATTTTTGTAATTAAAGCAACAGTATTTAAATGGATCCTCTTCATTCTGGGACAAAATGTTCCATCAAAGACTGAGCACGATGGGTTACACCTGTATACCAGCACTTTGGGAGGCTGATTGTTTGAGGTCAGGAGTTCGAGACAAGCCCGGCCAACATGGTGAAAGACCGTCTCTACTAAAAATACAAAAATTAGCCTGGTGTGGTGGCGCATACCTGTAATCCCAGCTACTCAGGAGGCTAAAGCAGGAGAATCGCTTGAACCCAGGAGATGGAGGTTGCAGTGAGCTGAGATGGTGCCACTGCACTGCATTTTGGGAAATACTCCATCAAAAAAAAAAATGTTCTGTCAAAGCTTTGAAGTTCTTTCAGCTCTTTCCAGCTGGGTGTGGTGGCGCCCACCTGCAGTCCTGCAGTCCTGGCTACACAGGAGGATGAAGTGGGAAAGTGGCTTGAGCTCAGGAATTCTGGGCTGTAGTCCACTGTGCTGATTGGATATCCATACTAAGCTCAGCATCAATATGGTAAACTCCAGAAAGGAGGGACTACCAAGCTGCCAAAGGAGGGGTAAACCAGCCCAGATCAGAAGCGGAGTGAGACAAAAATCCCATGCTGATCAGTAGTGGGAGCGTGCATGTGACCAGCCTAGCCACTCACTCCAGCCTGGGCAACATAGCAAAACCTCATCTCTTACTAGAAAAAAATGTTAAGAGGCCTTTCCAGTGGTAAGAAATAGATTTGTCCTTCTTTGGCCATGTTTTTTCTTTGCCCAAGCAGAGGCACGAGAGAGCATCTCCTAGCACACCTAGGACAAGTGAAAGAGCTCTCTGCCCTTCTCTAAAGATAGCCAAATGCTTCCAGATCTGTAGTTCTGTTGTCCAAGGATGCCTGTCTTTCTCTGTTGCTGACCCAGGAGTATTCCCTGTAAAATGTTCTGCAAACAGGTCAGGAAGTCAGCTTCCAGAAAGAATGGGCTTTTCTTTGAATCTGTGAATCTGCAACCCTTGAATGGAGAAAGCCCCCTTCCCTTCTCTCCAAGCAGCCAGGAAGTGGATGTTCCATGAGAACTCATTCATATTGGGAAAAAACAAATGCAAGTCGGAAAAAATTGCTTCTGAAAAAATGGCCCTTGTCTTTTCATATGTGGCCCTACTCTGACTGTGGATAGAAAGTTGGCTTTCCATTTTTGGAGCTCACACATTACTCCTGTTTCCATTGCTACTTTCTACCTGAATGTGGTTTCAGATTTTTAAAATACACTATCAGAGCACTTTGGTTAATCATAACTCATCATTCATGGTTTCCAGGTAATCGATAAACACTGTTATAAGAAGGCAACATAGAGGCCAGGCGCAGTGGCTCATGCCTGTAATCCCAGCACTTCGGAAAGCTGAGGAGGGCAGATCACCTGAGGTCAGGAGTTCAAGACTAGCCTGGCCAACATGGTGAAACCCCATCTCTACTAAAAATACAAAAATTAGCCAGGCATGGTGGCATGTGCCTGTATTCCCAGCTACCTGGGAGGCTGAGGCAGGAAAATCGCTTGAGCACAGGGGTTGGAGGCTGCAGTGAACTGAGATCACACCACTGCACTCCAGCCTGGGCTACTGAGCAAGACTCTGTCTCAAAAAAAAAAAAAAAAAAAAAAAAAGGCAACATAGAATAAAAGAACTTTCTGGAGGTCTGGGCTAGCAGGGGGTGTTCAAGTGTCTGCACATGGGAAGTGTGCCTCATACAGTCAGTGCCTTTGAATGACCGCAAATGATGTTTCCTAGTTATGCTAGTTTGTCTTAATTCTCAATGGGATACAGAGCCCTAAAGCCTTTCTAAGATCTCATTTTTTTTTTCAGTAACATCTGTACTGTATCTAAAGTGAGAGGTGTGGTGCTGGGTGTTACGGAAAATATGAACATGAACACAGGCTGGGGCTATGGGAGCAACTGAGGTGTGTAGGCTCAAAATGTAAGGCAATGCTTACTCTAGGGCTTATGTGAATGTTGACCCTGATAAAACACAATCTCTGCCCTCAAAGGGGAGGAAGGGCCTTCTCTGCTTGGAAGGGCCAGGCGTGGTGGCTCATGCCTATAATCCCAGCACTTTGGGAGGCCGAGGAGGGTGGATCACCTGAGGTCGAAAGTTCGAGACCAGCCTGACCAATATGGACAAACCCCATCTCTACTAAAAATACAAAATTAGCCAGGTGTGGTGGTACATACCTGTAATCCTAGCTACTCAGGAGGCTGAGGCAGGAGAATCGCTTGAACCTGGGAGGTGGAGGTTGCATTGAGTCAAGATCATGCCATTGTGCTCCAGCCTGGGCAACAAGAGTGAAAGTCAATCTCAAAAAGAAAGAAAGAAAGAAAGAAGCTTGAAGTCTGGAAGGCAACATGGGTAGGTAACTAATAGACTAGATTTGAGGCTTAAAGCAGATGAAAAAGTTCACAAACTAAAAGCGAAATAAGGCCTAAAGACCCAGCTATAAAACTGCAAACTATAGAATTCCTTGAAGAAAATACAGGAGAAAAATTCCATGAATTGGTTTAGGCAAAGAGTTCTTAGAAACGATACCAAAAGCATGATCCAGAGAAGGAAAGAAATTGATAAATCGGTCTTCATCAAAATTAAGAACTTCTACTCTTTGAAAGATATTATAAAGAGAATGAAACAAGTCTGAGATTGGAAAAAGCGATTTGCAAATCACATATCTGATCAAGGACTTGAATCCAGAGAAAGTAGATAAAGAACTCTCAATACAAAGTGTTGCAAGGATGCAAAGCAAGTGGGATTCACACACTGATGGTGGGAGTTCAAAATGACACAATGTTTTGGAAAACAGTTTGATAGTTTCTTAAAAAGATACAGACCCCTAACATAAGAACCAACAATTCCACTCCTAGGTATTTATCCAAGTAAAATCAAATACTTAGTTCACGCAAAAACCTGTACATGAATATTTATACTGACTTTATTCGTAATTGCCAAAAACTAAAACCACAAATATTCTTCAACTGGGGAATAAATAAACAAACTATAGTTCATCTATACAATGGAATGTTACTCAACACAAGAAGAGATAAACTTTTGCAAGAACATGGGTGAATCACAAATGCAGTATGCTAAGTGAAAGAAAAGTCAGAGGTTTTCAGGGGACAGGATTGGGGGGAGGGATTGACTACAAAGGGTCACAGGGAAATTTTAAGGTTGATGAACGGTTCTGTATCATAATTGTGGTCATGATTACAGAACTGTATGCATTTGTCAAAAGACACAGCATGATACTCTAAAAAGGGTGCATTTTACTGCACATAAATAACAATTTAAAAATTGTGAAATAAAAGCAGTTCAAAAAATAAACTTTTATTGACAATGCTAGTGTATTGGGAGCTGTGAGATGTTGTAAAGGGAGTGGGATACATATTCAATCTTGAAAAGTTTATGCGCCTTGCCACAAACCAGGCACTATGCTAA